GGGCTTTCCCTTGGGTTCTCGTGGAAAATGGTATGAAGGCAACTACTCCCTGCTCGCAGACATGGGCATTTCTAAACCCAGACAAAAGAGAATTGCGAGGAGATTATGTAATATGGCCCTATTCTCCTCAGCAGACTTACTGAATATCTTTGCGAGTAAATCTCGCTCAATTACCAAGTAACATTTGTAAATATTTAGTTAACTATCACACGTTTAGTCTTGTTAAAAATCACTTATGTGTTAATCACCCTGTGTAATTTTAATATTGATTGTAATATGCTCATGTCACAAATTGGATAGTAGGTTGGGAATCCCGTGACATTACAAGACGCATCAGCCAATTGAAATTCGAACTTCTTAACTGACCTAAAAACCTTAATGAATCAATTTCACCAATTTTGACTAAAGGTGGACGGGCCACCTTTACTTAACCCGGAAAGAAACATATATGTATTTTTGAGAAATAGCCAAATGCCTCGTCATCTCATTAGTGACGCACATGAATGGATGAACGAGATTCCCACTGTCCCTACCTACTATCCAGCGAAACCACAGCCAAGGGAACGGGCTTGGCGGAATCAGCGGGGAAAGAAGACCCTGTTGAGCTTGACTCTAGTCTGGCGCTGTGAAGAGACATGAGAGGTGTAGAATAAGTGGGAGGCCGGGCGCGCGCTTGGCGTGGCGGGGCGACCCGCCTACCGGCGTCCCAGCCGCCGGTGAAACACCACTACTCTGATCGTTTTTTCACTAGGTTGTTGGTGGGTGTATAAAATACCTTATTTAGTCTTCCGTGCTGAGTAGGCTTTTATCGTGCATATAAAATGCGTTATTTAGCCTTTCATGCAGTGGAGGTTGTTAGCGTGCATATAAAATCCCTTCTTTAGACTTTCGTGCGGCATAGGTTGTTATCGTACGTATCAAATGCCTTATTTATCCTTTTGTGAGGCGTAGGTTGGTATCGTGTGTATAAAATGCCTAATTTAGACTTTCGTGGTGATTAGTTTGTTATCGTACATATAAAATGCTTTATTTAGCCTTCCATGCTGTGTAGAATGTTATCTTGTATATAAAATGCCTTATTTAGCCTTTCATGAGGTGTAGATTGGTATTGTGCATATAAAATATGTTATATAGCCGTACGTACGGTGTAGGTTGGTATAGTACGCATAAAATGCCTTAATAAGCCTTTTGGGTGGTGTAGGATGGTATCGTATGTTTATAACGCCTTATTTAGCCTTTCGTGTGGTGCAGTTTTTTATTGTAAGAATAACATGTCTTATTTAGCCTTGCGTGCCATGTAGTTGGTATCTTGCATATAAAATGCCTAATTTAGGCTTTAGTGCTGTGTATGTTGTTATCATGAGTATAAAATGCCTTATTTAGCCGTTTGTGCATTTTATGTTGATATCTTGCGTATAATATGCCTTAATTATCTTTTTGTGACGTGTAGGTTGGAATAGTGTTTATTAAATGCCTTATTTAGCTTTTCATGCATTGTAGGTTGATATCATGCATTTATAATGCCTTATTTAGCCTTTCGGGTGGTCTAGGTTGGTTTCTAAAATGCTGGGGTTTCAAACCCAAGCCGCAGATTCGGGATGACACATGGGTGATTCCCACAGTGCTTCACAAAGAAGTGGTGAATTTACCTTTAAGCTTCCCTCCAGGGTGCGGCCGGCGTTGCAGGGAGAGCCATTAGGTAAATGAGCCCCAGGTGTCCTGCAATAAGTAAATGCATACAGGTGTCCCATTCAGGGATAAAAGCTTGGATCAATTGCAGGAAGGGGAAATGTCTGTCTGTGCGGTGGATGCCCTGTGCAGAGTTCCCTGTTGGGGAAGGACCTCTCACCTCCCTGGGACTGGGCTCTAGTCAGATCTGGCTTTTGTAAACGTGGGCTGTGTAGAGATTCAGCATGTGGCTTCCTTGGTCTTTGATTTGTTGACTCAGTTGTCGCCCATCCCTTCTATGGGAGACTGCATTTCACCATTTATTCCACCCATTGTTGGTCGTGGGGTGTCATTGTTGGGGTCAGTGAGATTGGTGTCAATTATGTATAATCTGACTTGTTTGTACCCCCAGTGCTCACCCATGTACTGACCCTTTTGTATCAAATACAATTTGGTTATTGGTTCATCTTTATGCTGGCTGTGTCCTTTATGCTAGGCCTAATAATTGGCAAAACAAAATTGGTGATGAGGATGGCCCCATCTGAAGTTCCCGGTTGGGAAGATCCT